CAGATATTTGCACACCACGTTCATAGCAGCGTTATTCCCAATGGACAAAAAAGATAGAAGGGACCCAAGTGTCCCTCGGCAGATGAAATGGAGTAGCCATGATGCAATGGGATACTACTCAGCCGTAGAAGGGGATGAAATACTGACTCATACTACAACACAGATGAACCTTTTTTTTTTCTCTTTTTTTTATGAATGGGGGTGGCCCCCATTCTACAAAATAGAATGAAAGCTCCCCACTTAAATGAACCGTGAAGACATCATGCTAAGTGAAATGCACCAGACGCAAAAGGACAAACATCCCACCTGTATGAGGTACCTAGAGTAGGCAGTTACATAGAAGCAGAAAGTAGAATGGTGGTGGCCAGGGGCTGGGGGAGACGGAAATGGAGTGTTATTGTTTAGCGGGTACGGAGTTTCAGCAGAAAAGATGGAAAGAGTTCTGGAGGTGGCTGGTGGTTATGGTTGCACATCATTGTGAATGGACTTAATGCCGATGAACCATACCCTTAAAAATGGTTAAAATGGTCAATTCTACGTTATGTATATTTAACTACAATAAAGAATTACAAGACAAACAGGTGAAATTAATTTTAGTAATATCTTATTTATACCAATACCACTCAAAATATTATAGTAAGCCTTTAAAACCTGGTGTGTGTTTTACGCTCACTGCACATCTCAATTCAGACTCGCCACGTTTCAGCAGCCACATGCAGCGAGTGGCTACCACACCGGACAGCATCGATCTACAATCTTGTCTGCAAGCATCTCCGTCATGTTTGCAAAGACCCGCGTCTCCCCAGCAGTGTGCAAAGGTCCATCTGCAAACGCACCTGCAGCTTCTCTGCGACCTCCCGCATCATCTGCAAACACACCTCCAGCTCACAGGCCAGTGCCTACGTCTCACTGCAGACATCTTCAGAGGAAGCACTTGCTCGAACAGCATGCTTGATTCCAAATCTGATTTGTCCTGCAAAGTTCCCCCCTCTTCTGCATACCTGTGCGGCTCATTTGGGTATCACTCGGAAAGCACACTGGCAGGGCCTCAGATGGTCATCTCAAAGTCAGGGGGGCTTGGGGCTGGGCAGGAGGCCCCCAGGTGTTCTTCCTCCTGCTTCCTCTGGGGCTCTTCATCCTCCTCCTCTTCCTCACAGCTGTCCTCCTCCTCTTCCAGGATGGTAACCAGATCCTCCTGGAGCGCTTTCATCTGCAGCCCCACGCTGCACAGCTGGCCCAGCAGCCGGACACCCGCTTGGCGCAGCTTCTCCTGCCAATAGAAAGGGTGTGTCACAGGCACGCTATCCATAGGGCAAGGGGTGGCTCCAGGAGCTGGGTGACAGCAGATCCCAGCTCAAATCCTGGCCCGTGACACTTGGGCAGGGTCTTCACTCTGCCCTGGGACCCTAACTGCCGTCCTGCTTCTCAGAGCATCTCTCGATCTCTACCTGTCTCTGTCTGTCTCTGCCTTTCCACTGTGCTTTCCCTCACTGTCTCTCTCTCAATCTTGGTCTCTTTGTCTCTCTTAGTATGTGTCCCTCTCTTGTTATTGCTGTTTCCTCCTGTCTGCCTCTGTCCTTATGTGTTTCTATGTCTTTGCATGTCCCTGTCTCTCTGTTCTTCTGTGTTTCTGTTCCCGCATTTCTCTGTGCCGGGCTTTGGCTGTCGCCATCTCTCTCTGTCTTAGATTCAGTCTGAATCTCTGTCTCTGTTCCTGCTCTCAGTTTCCGTCTCAGTCTTTCCACCTCTGTCTCTTTCTTTTGAGGTCTCTGCGTCTCTGTCTCTATTCCTGTCTCTCACTCTATGTCTCTGTCTCTTGCTGTCACTCAGATTCTGTCTTTCGATCTCCAGCCCTTTCTATTTTCATTCATTCATTCATTCATTCTTTCTCTCTCTCGCTCTCTCCCCATCTCCTGTGCCTTCAAACCCCTCACTCACCAGCTCCTCCCAGACCCACAGCAGACTCTCCCTGGCACCTCCAGTGTCTGTCCCTGGAGACGTGAGGGTCTGGCCAGGGCTGTCCACTGGGGAGACCCCCCTCAGGGCCCGTGGGGGTGGGCCCAGCCCCGGAGGCACCAGTCCAGCCTCCCTCAGCTGCCTCCACAGCTCCATGGGCTCTGAGCAGTGGCTGTCAGGAGCAGGAAGTAGCAAGGTCCAGGGTGACCCAGTTCCCTGGGGATCTGGGGGGAGGAGGGGAATAAAGGGCACTTGGCAGGGCTGGGGCTCCTGCGGAGGCATCCCAAAGTCCATTCTTCACAGAGAATCAACTGGCCTCATGTTTTTGTTTTTTGTTTTTCCTTCTGAAGTCTAACCTTAACTCTGCTCACAAGGATCCACACACAGCCTCTCTTGCAGAGGTCAAACTCCACCCCTCGCTGAGCACTCCACGGAGCTCAGTGTCTGTGGATGCCTGGCCCCGTCTGTCCTGCCCCTCCTGGGCCCTCCCACCTTGTCAGCCTCTCCTCAGCCTCCTTTGACCTGTGGCTTGCCCAAAGCTTGGTCCTTGCCTGTCCTCTCAGCTCAGGCCATCCTAGACCTTCCCGACCAGTGTTGCCTGGGGGCAGCAGTGGCTTCCAGGGGCTCCAAGAGAACGACCCCTCAGCTGGAGGGCCTCAGTGTCCAGGCTGCTGGCCTATGGCTGACCCACTGATGCTGCCGACCCTGGACTTGCCTGTGGTTATTTCACCGTCAGGGTGCACGGGTGTGGAAAAAGTCAGGCAGCATTGCAGGCCTTCCTCTGCCCTGAACCCCTCTTTCAGGCCCAAGCTGTTAAAATTTCACGTATATGTCACTGACTCCCAAGTCTCTGACTACAATCCTGAGACCTCCCTCCTGAGCTCCAGACCTCGACTCAGCAGCCCCGTCTGGATGTCACAGACACCTCAAGGTGAATATGATCAAAATGGAACTCTCAGCTGGGACCTACCTCACTGGATTCATTTCCTGTTGCTGCTACAACAAATAACCACACTCCCGGTGGCTTAAATCAACAGTTTTTCTCCCTGACCTGCTGCTCTCCCAGTTTCCCCATCTCCACTGTCCTTTTAGTTTTTCAAGCTGTTAACTTGACCTTCAACACAGATCCAGAATCTGAGCACTTCTCACCATTTCCACCGCTCCATCCCTCATCCTGTGCCCGTTCATCTCTTGCTTGGACTATTGCAGTAGCCCCTTTACTGGTCCCCTGCATCTACCCTTGCCCTCTAAGGTACATCCTCCACCTGGCAGAAATGGTCTTTACAAAATGTAAATCAGATTTTTACTCCACCCACTCCACCTTCCCTTGCCTGATCCTGGTTTTATTAATTAAATGACACAGTTTTTCAGCCACCTCATTCCCTGTTTTACGAAGGTAGCGAGTGAGAGCTGCAGGAACAAGGAAGCTCAGGGAGAATGCGACTGCAGTCTGGGGAAAGGAAGAAACTCTATTTTATTTTATTTTATTTTTTGAGACAGAGGCTCAGTCTGTTGCCCTGGATAGAGTGCCGCGGGGTCAGCCTAGCTCACAGCAACCTCAAACTCCTGGGCTCAAGCGATCCTTCTGCCTCTGTTTCCCAGGTAGCTGGGACTACAGGCATGCGCCACCATGCCCAGCTAATTTTTTCTATATATATTTTTAGTTGTCCAGCCAATTTATTTCTTTTTCTTTTTTAGGAGAGATGGCGGCGGGGGGGGGGGTCTCACTCTTGCTCAGGCTGGTCTCGAACTCCTGAGCTCAAGCAATCCTCCCGCCTCAGCCTCCCAGAGTGTTAGGATTACAGGCGTGAACTACCGCGCCTGGCCAGGAAGAAACTCTAGAACGAAGGACAGCCCATCCTCTCCCAGGGAAAGACTTTAGAGTCCTGTTTTAAGGCCCACGGCACTCTAAGTAATTCCTAAACCTGAGAAGAGTTAAAAAGTGCGTGTTCCTTTAAGAGGAGAGTTAGAAGACGGAGGGGGCGTGGCCACAAGAGAAGGCGTTCGCGATTGGAGTGGGCTAAGAAACGACCGGCCCCTTCCAGTGACGCTACACTAGCAACATGGCGGCGCCCAGGACGGTAGGTGACCGGAGCTCCTAGAGCCCCCGAAATTGAAGTTCTCTCTGCAGCCGTTGCCCTCAGGGCCTCTGTGGGCGGCCAAGAGAGCAAAGGGCCTTGAGGCAGCAGGAGCTTCTTCCGCCGAGCCCCACACTGGCAGCGCAGACCTATGACTACTGAGGGCTGGGAAGGATCCGAGGGGTCGCGGGCGTTGGAAGAGCTTCACCAGGAGATAAGGGGCGGGGACTTGGCGGAGAGAATCCTATAGGGATGAGAGAGTACGTTTCGAAGAGCGGCGCGTCTAGCCAATCAGAGGAAGGGATACTACTGCGCGCACGGGGAGCCAATGGGCAGGCAAGGGTGGGACCTCGAGGATTTGGAAGGGATTGGCCGAGAATTTGAGATTCAATCCTAGGGTAGAAGATAAATTTAAGGGAAATGCCTGGGAGTTTAAGGAATTTTTATAGAAAATCAAACGTATGATGGAGGCTGGGGGGTGGCCGATAGGTGAATTTGGTTGTTTTAAGGGAAGTATCTGGGAGAAATGAAGGAGAGAATTTGCGATATTTCGGTAACAGGATTTAGGAAGAATTGGGATCAAGGAATATAAATTTAGTGAAAATTAAAGAGGTTTGGAGCTTAAGAATTTTGAAGGAAAATAAGAGTTTGAGCAAAATTATCGAGAGATTTGAGAAAAACAAGAGAATTTGGTTAGAGCAAAGAGAAATTGGGGCAGATTAAGAGGCCACCTTGAAAATGAAATTGAACCGGCCCTGCAGCTAGAAAGTCTTGTGTTTAGGCTCATCTGACCTACTCAGTTATACTTTCAATGATCTTTTGTGCATCTGAAAAGCAAAACAGACAAACTCACAACGTAATAAATAGCGTTCTTTCCGACAACAAAAAAAGCGAAATTAAAGATTTCTTCCCTGTGATCACGCCTCACCATTTTTCTAACCTCCTCTTAAAGGGGCGTGCACTTTTCATTCTTCTCAGTGTAGGGATTACTCTGAGCGTGGTCCTCATGGTAAATTCTCTGCGTGGTTTGAAGAGAAATTAAGATTATATTTTGGGGAAAGAAATAGGTCATTCATAAAGACCCTGGGAGAAGAATTGGGTAAAATTAAGGGGTGAATTTGTGGGAAGTAAAAAGTCAGATCATGGAGGTTTTGAGAAACCTCCTTAGGTTTGAGAGAAAGTTAGGGGAAAAATTTAGGAAAACCAAGACTATTTGGCTAAATCAAGGAGAGAATTTAGGGCTGATTCAAGGGAAGAAATGGAGAAAAACATGGAGAAATTTCTGGAATCCCTAAGAATTGGAAGTTCTGAAAGGAGAACTTAGAGAAAGTCAGGAAGCAGAGGGGTTGAGGTTTATGGACCAAGAACTGGGGCATCCAAGCTGAGCTCCTCCTTTCCTCCCCCCCACCCCAGTCCCTGCGCCTGGTGGCAGCCATATGGAGTGGGAGTACCAGGGGCATCCACGGCCTGGGTGGGGCAGCAGCTCCAGAGGGCAGTCAGAAGAAGGGAAAAACACTGCTCCAGTTCCTGTCTGACCACTTCTATGACGTGGAGTTTCTGAGGGAGTACTTGCTCCAAAGGCAGATGTTGAAAGTGCATCAGGAAAATCGGTGAGAACCCCTAGCCTGCAAGACCTTGTGGAGACCTACTGCTCAGGCTTCACCAGTCAAAGCCCAGATCCTGCCCTTACCATTCCCAAGTAGCACCTTGGGTTCTAATGCCAGCGTTGCTGACTCCTGCATCTTCCTTTCCAGCCCACACCCTCTCAAGAACTCCAGTTCATATAAACAAGTCGCTACCCACCAGCTCCACTTGGCGGTATAGCTAGCATCTCAATCCTAACATGGCTAAAACCAAACCCTGATTTCTTCCTAAAAAAAAATCTCACCCCTAGGCCTTCCCTATCCCAGTAACCAGTAACGCTGCCCACCCACTTGTTCAAGCCAAATTTTGAGGAGTCATCCCTGATTCTTCTCTCTGCCCTCCACACCCAGTCCATCAATAAAGTACTAGACTATCCCAAATTTGACCAGTTTTTACTGCTTCCACTCTTAGTAGCCTGGTCCAAGCCCCTTTGTTTTATGGCTGGATTACTGCAGTAACCTCCTAACTGGTTACCTTCCACCCCGTATACTCCATTATAGGCCACAAAACAGTTAAAGGACTCTTAAAAAAGTAAAATAGATAACATTGCCGCCCTGCTTAAAACCCTCAAGTGGTTTCCAATTGCAACTACAATAAAAGCCAGTCTCCAAGGCCTAAAACCTGTCCCCTACTGAGCTTTGAGACCCCCTCCCGGGAACTCCCCTCACCCTCATCAGCATAACATCCTTATTGCTGTTTGCTCAGCCATCATAATTCAAGCCTTCAAGCCTTTGCACTCTGTTCCCTCTCACCACTCAAGTCTCTGATCAAATGTCACCTCCTTGCCAGGTACGAGCTGTAATCCCAGCTACTCAGGAGGCTGAAGCGGGAAGATCCCTTGAAGCTAGGAGTTTGAGACCAGCTTGGGCAATGTAGCAAGCCCGTCTCTAAAAAAATTTTTTTTTTAATGAGCCAAGCATGGTGGCATGTGCCTGTAGTCCCCAGCTGCTGAGGAAGCTGATGCAGGAGGATCCCTCGAGCCCAAGGGTTCGTGACCAGTTCATGTCAACTCCTCCAAGAAGCATTTCTTAACACCCAGTAGATCAGCCTCTGCCGTCCCCAGCCCCGAGCCAAGCCACTCCCAGTCAGCCTCTCTGCTTTATTTTGTCATGGAATTGATATTCTCTGCAGTTCGCCACGGCTTCCTGGCTTGTTGTCTGTCTCCCTCTGTAAAATAGCTTGACAAAGGCAGGGATGTTCTCTGCTTTGGTCACCATTGTACCCCAGTGCCCAGCACTTAATAGGCGCAATTAATATTTGCAGCCTGACTTGGACTCTGACCCTCCAAGCAGTGTTGGGGAGGGGGGTGGCGTTCCCCAGGCCTCACCCTCAGCTGCCATTTTCTCCTCAGATCCTTCGCATACATCGCAGAGAAACACGGCCCGTACGTCGCAGGTGCCTGCTTCATCCTGAAGCAGGGAGGCGCGGTCAAGTATGACAGCTAAGGTGTTAAAACGGGGTTGGGGGGAGGTGGCGGGGCATCTCTCACACCCAGCCTCTGCAGCCAGACAGGCTTCACTGGGGGTCCCCTAGTCTCTGCCACCTACTGGCTGTGTGGTTGGGACTTACTGTTGAGCTTCAGTTTTGTCATCTGTGAAATGGGATGGTGATCATACCTAACCCGCAAGGTTCGCTGTAAAGACCGAATGGGATTTTGCAATCTAAACCTTTGCAACGAGGCCTGCACAGTATATGTGCTCAGCGTTCCTTTTTCTTTCTTTCCTCCTTCCCCCCTCCTTTCTCCTTCTTCCCTTTCTCCTCCTCCCTTTGTTTTTTATTTTTTTCTTCTTTTTTGGAAAACACAATTCACGTAGACTTCATCTACCCCTCATCTTTGTTTCAATTAAAACTTCCATTGAGTTTGAGCACTTCCTCCAGCAACTGCCTTCGAAACGGTGTACATGTTTGAAAATGTCCCTTCACTTTGCCCGTCTTCAGGGATTCTTGCGTTCTTGTGTGGTTGCTCTTACGTCATCAGTGATCTCTCTGACCCTCATTCTCCGGATATGTGAAATTGGCAAAACATTCCATCTTTGTTCAGACTGTCACGGGATCCAATAAAACCACACACGAGAGCACTTAGTACAGGGCCTGGTGTATAGGACGCACACCAGATACAGTACAATAATTTTATTATATGAGGCTGGGGAGAATTCTCAGAGGTTGGAGCCTGGGAAGAATGGGGTACTCCGCCAACGCTCCCTCTTTTCCTCTTCCAGGTTTCAGAACAAGGAATGGATCAGGCCAGATGAGCGTGGCCGTTTCCCTCTTGAGTTCTCGGAGTTCCCCGGGGTACCTGTAGAGGCCGTGGATGCCAGCGGCTGCGCCATCAACTACGATGGCCTGGACAATGTCTGTGAGTGGGGTGCGGTGGGGGTCGGCAGGGTGGGGTGGAGATGGGACAAGCCTATGCACTCTCCCTTCGGTGGTGGGCTCCAGAGGGCTCTTGGTGCCATCCTGCCCTCTCCCCCCTGCAGTGCTCCTGAAGGAGCTCCGGTCCTTGTCGCTGCGGCGCTGCCCCAACGTGGATGACTGGTGTCTCAGCCACCTCCACCCACTGGCCAACTCATTGCAGGAGCTCTCACTGGCCGGCTGCCCCCACGTCTCCGAACGAGGCCTCGCCTGCCTCCACCACCTCCAGTAAGACCTCGGCTCAGGCCGCCCCGTGCCAGGGCACCTCCCACACAACACAGACGCCGGAGAGAAATTGGGGGTGGGGGCGGGTGCTGTTGGGCAGTTTCCCATAGCCCCCCGCCTCCATCAAAACCTAGAGTGTTCGTGGTGGCCGAGCACAGGGGAGCAGTTGCAGTGAGGCTCTGGGAGAATGAAATGACTCTGGGGTTTTTTTTTTTCCTTTATTTTGATGAAATGCCCTGATATCTACACTGTTGCTGACCAGTGGGAGCAGGGGCGCCTGTCTGCGGTTAACACAGTGGATTTCATGTGCTTGGACAGCTATAAAGATTTATTTTTATTTTAAGAAGCTAGGGTTGAAATTGGGGCCAATCCCCCCACCGCTCCCTGCCACACACACACAAATGCTATCCTTACACTGGCTTCCTGCCCTTCTTGCCCCTTCAGAAACCTCCGCAGGCTGGACATCTCGGATCTCCCTGCTGTGTCCAACCCAGGCCTCACTCGGATCTTGGTGGAGGAGATGCTGCCCAACTGCGAGGTTGTGGGGGCCGACTGGGCCCAGGGCCTGAATTCGGAGCCGGAGGAGCAGCCTCAGGACAGAGCCAGCCCCGTCCACGTGTAGCCTGCAGCCCCCTCCCACCTCCAGTGGGGTCTCGGTGTGGCGTGTGGGATGTCTGATCGCTCGCTAGGCCTCTGGCTTCCAGTCGGGTTCAGCGTGGGCGTGGGGGTGTGGCACTGGCAGGTCAGAGGGAGGAGAGCGTGAGGTGGGGGTATGGATTCCTGGCTGTCCCTGGCTGAAGGTCACGGCTCCTGTCATCCCGTCAGGCAGCCCTTTCCATGCACCTCTCCTTCCGCTGCCTCCTCGGGCCTAGGGAGGTGGAGGCTTGGGCGTCAGTAGCCCCAGAAAGCTGCACTCATCTTCGTGGTCTCCCCACACTTGGCCCACACCTTGTCAAGAGACTCTTCTCAAGTCGTCCTCAATTGCATGTGCTGCCATTTCTTGCAGGGACCCTCACTGATACAGGGGGTGCTCCTGGCAGTTTACAGGGATGTTTCTTCCCTGTGTGGGACTGTCCTGCTCGCTGTAGGAGGTACGGCGTCCTTGGCCTACACTCGCTGAAGGCCAGTAGCACCCCGAGTCCCATGGGGTTGCCAGTTATTGATTCATCGACTGTCAGCTCCAAATTCAGCTTTTTTGTCTGCTCTGTGAAAATGGATCTGGGCCTTTGAAATACACTTTTCCTTTGCTAACTAGCATGCCAGGCTTTGTCAGTAGAGGGCACTCGAGAGACGCAGCAGGAGGAAAGGAATTTCCTTCCTGGTTCCTGTTGGGTGTGTTGTGTCTGGGTGCTGCGGTGCCTGGCTTCCCCAGCACCCAGCTCCTGCGGTGCCAGACGGTCAGCAGCTGCTCCTGGCACCCTCCACAGGGGGTACAACGCCTCCACTGAGGCACCTTTCTGTGAGCAACTGTCCCCAGCACCCCAGTTGGATTTCCAGTCAATTCAGAGGCATTTTTGCCAGTAAATCCCTCATTATCCCAATTAAAGTCAATAATTTATATTAAATTTTCCCTGTTCAAGTTACTCTGGCTTTTCTCTCCTGACTGGACCCAGATGGACACAGAATTGCTACCTGGAGTATCCCAGGAGACAGACTCAAAAGATGGGATTCAGGGATATGTTTGGTTGTGCTTTTGGGCTTGTGCACAGTGCTGAGCTCTTGCTCATGGGAAAGAGGGTTCTAGAAACCCACAGCGTGCAGTGGTATCGCAGTCCTGCTGCCACCTGTGGCTGACCGTGATGAGGGGCCAACCGAAGCACGAGCCCTGGAAGCCCCCGTGGCTGCTGTGCTTGTTGGCAGCCGTGGCATTAGCGACAGCTCTGAAGACCAGGGTGCTGGGTAGGTCCTTTGGGGTGCCCTTGAGTGCTTACAAATAGTGTCGAGCTCGGGTCTGTTAACTGACCTCAAGTCACAAGTTCTCTAGTCTGAGAACTAGAGAGCTTCCATGAGAGCCCCAAAAGCTTTTACGTCTCTGGAAGGGGGTCATCTAGTTGGACCCAGAGTAAACAGGCAATCTGGAACCTCTACGTCACTCCGAGCCTCCCTTACCAGTGTCTGTGGAACCTACCAGCTTCCTGTGCTTGGAAACTTTGTGATGAGCACGCCAGGGTCAGAGGACTTGAAAGGGGACATCCATTCTTCTTAAGACTCACCACAGGTGTCCCCTGCTGCCCCTAGACCCGGAAATACCTAGGGTCAATCGCAGCTTACCCACTGGGACTCAGGAGGGAGCAGCTTGTACACTAAAGAATGACAAGACTTTGGCCGGGCGCGGTGGCTCACGCCTGTAATCCTAGCACTCTGGGGGCCGAGGTGGGCGGACTGTTTGAGCTCAGGAGTTCGAGACCAGCCTGAGCAAGAGCGAGACCCCGTCTCTACTAAAATTAGAAAGAAATTAATCGGACAACTAAAAATATATAGAAAAAAATTAGCCGGGCATGGTGGCGCATGCCTGTAGTCCCAGCTACTCGGGAGGCTGAGGCAGGAGGATCGCTTGAGCCCAGGAGTTTGAGGTTGCTGTGAGCTAGGCTGACGCCACGGCACTCACTCTAGCCCGGGCAACAGAGTGAGACTCTGTCTCAAAAAAAAAAAAAAAAAGAACGACAAGACTTTGCAAATACAAGGACGGTCAGAAACCTGGCAAATGTGTGCAGAAGCCGATCTTAGGTTCTTAGACCAGTAAGGTGGCCATGACACTAGCTCAGGCCAAATTCACTGGCATGAGCGCGCTTACTGGAGGGTCCAGGCTTAATGGGTTACTTGGTGCCGCGGGAAGTGGCTCTAATAGCTTACTCGGCTGGCTGACCAGAACTTGGACCCAATAGTGGCCTACAGGTGCTGAGGCTGAGAGACCAGCACTGACCTGACGTGGATGAGGGAGGACTCCACAGGCTTAGGGAGACAGAAACGTTGGATTCGGCCGGCGCATTCACCCCCCAGCTATGTTCCCTAGGATGGCAGCTCTTACCAGCCAGTCCCTCATCATGCCAATCCCGTGTTACAGTTCATCATTCTGTGTGTTGAACTTTCTCCTGTTCCAATTGCTGTGTGATTTCTCTCTCCTGATTGGACACGGACTGATGCACAAAGCAAACAGAACTGTATACTCGGACTTCCCAACCCCCCCAGGAGGGGCGGTGCTGCCCCTGCTCAAGAACCTCTGCACCCCTGGGGCGAAGCTAGGTGAGCCAGGAGAGCTGTGGGGGGGCGAGGGACTCCCTCCCAGCCCTCGCCACAGCCCCGGCTGTCGTTTCCCACTCTAGCTGTTATTCCATTAGCGTTCACCACTTCCCCCCACTCTTCCTCCAGCTGTTCCCACGGGCTCCATTATTCCAACCTGGGGGGAGGAAGTCAGGCTGGACAGATAAAATGCAGCTGGCAGACTGGGTTCCTAAGATGATCTGGAGAGTCCCTCCCCAAATCAGGGTGGAGTGACAGGCCAGGCTTAGTGGGGGGCAATAGTCCCACCCCAGGTCCTGGGAGGTCCCCAGACAACTGATGCAGCCCCAACAGCAGAGGCCTCTGGGGGGTAGGGATGTAAACAGTCAGACACCCTCTCCCGTCCCGGAGGGCCGGATGTGAGTGTTCCTGGAGTCACAGTGCAGCCTGGGGACAGGCTGAGTCCCAGGGCGAGGCTGACTCCAGGGCTAGAGGGAGGGGCAGGCAGCCCAGGCTCCAAAGGGGATGGAGGAGGTGCAGGGTCACCTTAGCCCCGGGGCTCCCTGTCGCCCCACTCCTCAGGCTCCATTGCCCAGTGGCTCGGCTCCCCCTTCCGCATGTTCCTGCTCCCCAGCTCCCTTCACCTCTTCCAGGGTCTGGCCCTGTGTTCTGAGTCCCTCCCTCTGCCCTCCACCTGCCTCTCTAAACCTCATCTTCTCCCCAGCACCCCATGGGGCCTGCTGGCCACTCTTTATCTTTCTTGCTGTCTCCATCTTCCTCCTCTCCCTCTTCCCCAGCTCCCTCCATCTCCTGTCTCACCCGCTCGGCCCTCTCCTCTCTGTGCTGCCCGCCTGAGGTCTCCTGGCTGTCCTCCCTCTCCAGGATGTCTCTGTCTCTCCTCCTCCTCACCAGCCCCTTTCCCCACCCGCACCCGGACTCTGGGCAGTGACAACAGACATCCCTATCTCAGGCGGCCGTCCGTCCCCACTCAGCACATTCACGGCTCCCCGCACCGCCTCCCTGCACGGCCCAGCGCCAGCCCCTCGGCCTCTGTGGCGCTCGGCCTCCCGTGGTCACTCTGACACTCCCCGCCCTGGCCCAGCCTCGCCCTCCCCTGGACTCACTCCCCAGGCCCTGGCTCTCCCCTCCAGGCCTTGCAAGGTTCCCCGTCTGTCTCTGTGGCCTCCGCCTGCACCTTTCCTGCTGTCTCACCAGAAAACCAGCCCTAACACGCCAGAGCCCCATCTCCCAGGTCGCCTCTGCCCTCCTCCTTCCTTCCCTCCTGCCTCAGCCCCGCCCCGGCCCCTCCCGGCCCCTGGGGCCCTGCCTGCTCCCACTCTCCTCTCCTCCCCGCCCCTCTGGACGGGCTGGGCTGGGCCGGGCGGGTAGAACGCGCTGCCGCACGGGCAAGGGCAGGACAGAGGGAGCTGAGGGAGGCCCTGACCAGAGGCCCGGCGGCGCCGGAGCTGGTGGGAGTCGGACCCAAAGGTAAAGCGGAGCCAGATGCGGGGCTCCCGGCCCCTGGAGTGGGGATGTTGGCGGGAGGTAGGCTGGGTTTCTAAGAAGGTGGAAGGAACTAAGCCCATCGAGCTAGGAATCAAGGGATCCTAGTTTCTCAGTGAGAAGGATGAATGAAGGGACAGAGGGAGGAAATAGGAAGGTGGAGGGGTCCTGGTCCCCTAGTCTCTGGGGTGGAGCCCTCCTGGGCTTCTAGGAAGAGGTAGACCTGACTTCTCCAAAGGTGGGGTTGGACCGAGAGTTGAAAGAACGGGCGCTGGAATGGGGCTGGAATCAGGGATTCTGAGGTCTAGAGATGGGGAAAGTTGGGTCCTCGGGTTGGAGGAGCTTTTTAGGGTCTGGGACTGAGAGAAGCCGTCACAAGGGTTGGCAGGGACTGTGGGAGATGTGAGGCTGTTTGCCTGGGGCCTGGCGGGGCCCTCTCTGGAGGCCATCCCCGCACCCCAAAGGCCTCCGTGGCTCCCTTGTGGCTCCCTTGTAGCTCCCGTGGCTGCCCCGTCCCCGGGCCGGGTCATGCGCTGCCCCAAGTGCCTTCTCTGCCTGTCAGCACTGCTCACGCTCCTGGGCCTCAAAGTGTACATCGAGTGGACATCCGAGTCCCGGCTCAGCAAGGCCTACCCTGGACCCCGGGGCACCTTGCCAGGCCCCACGCTGGCCAACCCTGAGCCCACCCTGCCCGCCAACCTCTCGGCCCGCCTAGGTCAGACTGGCCCACTGCCCTCGGCTTACTGGAACCAGCAGCAGTGGCGGCTGGGGACCCTGCCCAGTGGGGACAGCGCTGAGGCAGGGGGCTGCCAGACTTGGGGGGCTGCTGCCGCTGCTGAGATCCCTGACTTTGCCACCTACCCTGAGGACCTCCGCCGCTTCTTGCTGTCAGCAGCCTGCCGGAGCTTCCCACGGTGGCTGCCCAGAGCTGGTGGTGGCCAAGTGGCCGGCTGCTCGGATACCAACGTCCCCTACCTGCTGTTGGCTGTCAAGTCAGAACCAGGGCGCTTTGCGGAACGACAGGCCGTGAGGGAGACGTGGGGCAGTCCAGCTCCTGAGATCCGGCTGCTCTTCCTGCTGGGGTCCCCCGTGGGTGAGGCCGGGCCTGACCTAAGCTCACTGGTGGCCTGGGAGAGCCATCGCTACGGGGACCTGCTGCTCTGGGACTTCCTTGATGTCCCCTTCAACCGGACACTCAAAGACCTGCTGTTGCTGGCCTGGCTGGGCAACCACTGCCCTGATGTGACTTTTGTCCTGCAAGTTCAAGATGACGCCTTTGTGCATACCCCAGCCCTGCTGGATCACCTGCAGGCCCTGCCACCCACCTGGGCCCGGAGCCTCTACCTGGGTGAGGTCTTTAACCAGGCCACACCCCTCCGGAAGCCTGGAGGACCCTTCTATGTGCCTGGGTCCTTCTTCGAAGGTGGCTACCCGGCCTACGCAAGTGGAGGTGGCTATGTCATCGCAGGGCGCCTGGCACCCTGGCTGCTACAGGCTGCAGCCCGCGTGGCACCCTTTCCCTTCGACGATGTCTACACCGGCCTCTGCTTCCGTGCCCTGGGGCTGGTGCCCCGGGCCCACCCAGGCTTCCTCACAGCCTGGCCGGCAGAGCGCACTACGAACCGCTGCGCTGTCCGAGACCTGCTGCTGGTGCGGCCCCTCAGCCCCCAGGACAGCATTCGGCTCTGGAAACAACTGCGGGACCCACAGCACCAGTGCTGAGCCTCCGTGGGGAGGACGGGGACGGGAAGGGCTGACCTGGCTTGGGCCTCCGAGGCCTGCACCTTGCTCAGCCCCTTCTCCCAGGCCTTGATGTGCGGGAGGAGGGCCTAGAACCCAGACTGTTTGAGCCACTCCTGGGCCTCCTGGCCAAGCAGGATGGGGCCACAGACAGTTTTTGTCTACTTTTTGTTTTCTGAAAAACATGCACTCCCCACTCTGAGGCCTGGAGTTGTGTTTGCGTCTGTGGGGCCCCAAGTGGTATGGTGCAGCGCTCAGCCACGCCCTGACCTGCACACTGATGCTCCCCTACACTGGGCAGGGCTGGCTCTGATGGGCCTCATGGTCCCTTTGCTGGACCAGGCTTGCCCCATTCTGAGGGACAGCAGGAGACCAACTCTGGAGGACCCCCACCCCAACCCTGTCTGCTGAAGCTGACTCTGCAGCTTGCGCAAGTTTCCAGGGGAAGCAGCTATCTCAACCGGCGTGGCCTTATTCATGTAAAGTGCAAAGGCTGGGGCCAGGCCTAAATCAGTCTTGCCAAACTCTCCCCACACCGGCAAACTCCAGGAAACAGAGAGCAGAGGTGGAACGGGAGCCAGATGCAGAGACCGTTTATTCACCCTCTCTGCTGACCACCGCGCATGCTCCGCAGGTTCTGCTGCCTACCACGCCCACCCCAAACCCAGGGGCTGCAGGGCCTGCAGACACCCTCGCCCAGCCTGGGAGAAGGCCCAGTAGCAACAGGTGAACCGGGGCTGACAGCCTCAGCAACCGCTGCCACCTCGGAATGTAACAGCCTGGAGGGGCAGGACTGGGGAGTGGGAGCCACCTGTTATGGTCTCAGGCACCACCTGGCCCCTGAGTATTCAGACAGAGCTGGCTGGAGAAGGGGCAATGTCCTGCCAGCTCTCCTCGCTCCCCTGAGTGGGGCTGCCTCCCTGGCGGTTGAAGGTGGGTGGGGGTAGAGTGACCGGGCCTCACTTCTCGAAGTGGTCCAGGGGGTAGTGCTCCCCGTAGGTCTGCAGGTGACGGGCTAGGGACTCCTGCTGCTTGCGGAGCTGGGCGGGCATCTCTTGATACACGTCTGAGAAGAGCAGGTTGGGGTTGGGCTTCAGCTTCCGCTCAGCCTGCTCAAAGGCCTCCATCACCTGCGGGAACACAGGACGGTGGTCAGACAGCTCCTCCCACCCAGAGCCCTCCCTCCTCCTGTGGGACCTTGGCAAGGGGCTCTGGGCCTTTGTGTTCCCATCTGGACAAGGCAGATGGTCATCGTCACGGGGGTGTAACGAACACACCCAGACCCCAGCA